GAGCGACAGGGTGGGGGGGACCCGGCATCGGCCCCGCCGGGGTCGGTCTGGCTCCTCCAGCCCCCCCTTTCATTAGGAACAGAATTCTTGTTTATTTTGCTTTGCTTTCCGACGCCGGCTTAGACCCGCTCGTAAGCTTTTCCTCGCACTAAACCCCTTAATCTCCTCTTCAATATGTTGCTCCCACCAGGGCTGGATTTATTGTGGGATTTTTCCCCCTTTTCCCTCTCCCAGCGGTTTCGGGGGGGGGGGGGGTTAGGGCCGGGCCGGTGCGGCGGGGGGGAGGCTCCTACGGGGACGGGCGAGGGACCGGCCGCAATTTCGGGTGCCCCTTATCCAGGGAAGGGGGTGAGTCGCCTGCCAGCGCCTGCCTGATTTTATCCGTTATTAAAGGCGATTCCTACTTTTCACCCGTCCGCTTTGCAAAGCAGGCGGTTGGGAGGAGGAGGAGGATGGAGGGAGGGAGGAAGGCTCCGGCGGGACGATCCACCGGGGCCCGGTGATGGTGACGCAGCGGTGGCCGGACCCAGCTCTCCCCGTGCCTGTTCCCGACTGAGCTGCTGGGAGCACGGCTGGGACCTGACGCTGTGGGGTGGGATTTTTATCCCCTTTTAAAGCAGTTTTCCATCATCGCCTGCCGTGCCCGAGCCCTTCACCCCCGCCAGGACTTGCTTGTGCACGTCTTTAGGCTTGTTTTTTGGGTGGATGTGTTTAGGTGTAGTTTTGGGTGCAATATTTAGGTGCATTTTTGGGCGTACGTATGAGGATGTACATCTTCGAGCTCCTCAATTTGGTTTTTCTCCCTCCCTGGCGCGGCTGCGGGTGCTGCGGCTCTGCCAACCGCCGCACTCTTGTGTAATAGTGGGGCCAGGGCTGGGCGAGGGCGAGGCGAGCCCCCCGGGTCCCCTTCCCGCCCCGTGACATCCCGGGATTTCACCTTTATTAGTACGGAGGGAAGCATTAACGCCTGCCTAATTAATAACACCGCCTGGCTCTTATGTCGCACTTGCACAGCCGGCACCGGGCTTAATTAGCAACTGGGTGAACTTTTCCCTTTTTTTAATTTTTTTTTCCCCTTTTCCCCCCCCAATTACTGTGCG